ATAATTATATTAATGCCGATTTTAGTCCGTTGTAGTACAAGCCTTGCTGTTCTGACGGTATAGTTATTTGGTGCACATATCGTATTGTTGCGTCATCGAGATCATGTGATTCTCACGCTCTCTACTATCTAGAATTATCCTGTACTTTGGCGAATGTTCTAGTTCTTACTAGATATAGGGTAGGCGGGTATATAAAAGAGGGGAATGTAACGTGTCTGGGTAGATAGTGAGTAATTGAACTGCAGTCACAGGGTATTGTTGAAGTTAACCGTTCGTTCGTTACAGTGTTGTTTTAGCGCGAGTATTGAGATTAAGTGTATCGCAAAGTTATATTCGGAAAGAATAAACCAGTTTTATTAAGTAAAGACTTGTGTCGTTAAAGTTTCGTTGGAACGAAGTTAAGGAAAAATCAATTAACAAACGGAGACGTAACAGGTGTTTCATAATTATGTAATTTCATCGTTTCTTTATACATTATATATCAGAATCAATTATAGTTTTTACATTATTTTTAGTTTTTTCGTTATCATATTTCACTTAATCGATGACAGAATATGTAATTAAAATTACTGTTATATACATTTAATTTGGTTTTGCAGGCAATAAATATACTTCGTGAGACGGTGTGACACCAAATCTCATCCCCATAGCACATATGTGCATGCGTGATACATAGGTGATAAGTCTGCTGAATCTGATTAATCTAAATTATGTGTCTTATGCAAAATATTTTAGGTAATATTAGTGCAATTTTTTTCCTTTTAAATAGATTTGGTATTGTTTGTTTACTTTTATGAGGGCGATTTTGTTCATATACTTATTTTAATTCGTAAATACTATAACTACTTTCAGTATCAACTGACATTGACAAACGTTCACCTTGATTGTCACTCGTTTTGTCGAATAGTGTTAACTTAATCGTAAAGTTCGTGTCTTAAACAATATATTTTAATTCATATTAGTGCCATTTTTTTTCGTATTATAGAAATTTGGTATTGCATATTTACTTTTTTGTTCGTATACTTATTTTAATTCGTAAATACTATAGCTACCTTCAATCAGTTAAGTTGTAAATTGTGACATAAATAATTCAAAGCACAGTCAGTGTAATGTAAAACAAGTGTATTTATTTCTCTAATATTATAATAAAACTACATAGCTTATAACAATATCAAATACCAAGTTGAACCTATTAATTGCTTTATACACATTCTTTTTAACCTGAATATGTTGTGGTATGCAGTCTACAACTACAAGTCCATGATTCAGTTTTGTCGAGTAACGACAGAATGATATATAAATACACAAGTATGTATAGCATAAACAAAACAACACAGAATTATCCATTAACTGTTTAGTGTAATTAAAGTGAAAAGTATAACATTCAAGCAGTTACAACTTTATATTTTACTTCTATTTTAAAATAGTTAGATTTTTAGTTGTCAGAAATTTATAAAAATACATGATTATGAAGTGAACGTGAGAATAGTAAAATGTCAAAACGATAGTGTGTGCAAAGTGGTAAGAAAATATAATACTGATAATTACAACTTTACACCGGTCTTAGGTTCAGAAGTTCATAGTTTTCAGTGGTAATACTTCTTACTAACATCAACTAATAGAATTGGCTAGCCTAGGGATGAAATTAAAAGTAATAACACACAATGAAAAAAAAATTATTTATACACTAGTATAAGTTACATATTAAAAATGTTAATACTAATATAAAAAATTAGTAGGCCTACTAGTACTTAATTATACACAACTATCCATGTCAGTACTAACTCTTATTAGTCTTGTGTAAGTACAAGTCTAAGTGCAATATTTTCAATAAGAATTTCCTTCTAAACATTACATAATCATTAGATAAAGAGTTGATAATTTAATTTCATTGTTACTAAATAACCAAATGTTAAATAACATTTTACAATGGAAAATGTTGCTTATTACATGCTCGGTGTTAGTATCACGTAAAGTATTATTAGTAAAAATCATTTGTTCAGGTAGGCTTAAAAATATCACATTTTTAGGGATGCACAGGTACATAGCCAGATATCTGCCTCCGCCCAGGAATTGGGCTACCCGGTAATACTCTGCTCCAGCCAAGTGTCGAAGTTAGGCATCTAACCCCCTTCTCTTTGTGGCAACTAATGTGGTACTGAAAGTTACAGTCAGTAATTGGTTTAGTTAAAAAAAAAAACATGTTCCGAGCAACAAAGACTGACCACCCGCTGAAATTCTGGGATTCAGAGAACAATAAGGGTTAGGGTTTAAGAAGTTGGAGCTAGGCATTGAAAGTTGAAAGTAAAAATTGAATGTTCTGTTGGTGATTAATTAGTTAAATATAATAAGCATCAGTTTTGTTTTTGTTTGAAATATTTGTGTATATTTTGGGGGGGGGGGGAAGAACTTGATCCCAGTTAACTCCCAGCCCCGGCCAAATCTTAGTGACTGGGTACCTGGACCCGGTATTCGGCCAAATTTTACTGCCTGTGCATACCTACACATTTTATAAATAATACTGAGAAATAGACTGTTTATATTACATGAAATAGTACTTACGAAATACATTTGATCAAAACCAAATGAGAAAAGAAAAAATTTGCAAAAAATGGATACATAGTGAACTAACACTGAAAGATACAATAGGATGAAATTAAGATGTGAGATAGTGTTTGGTAGAGCTGCAAAATCCTATCCCCCCGGATGAGATTTGGACAGGGGATGATTATTGGTGGCACAACAGTGTTATATTCCTAAACCAAGGTATCAGGGAAGTTTTGTTAATTTCTTTAATCCAGAAGGTAGTAGTACGCAACTACATTGCATTTACAAAGTAAAACAAATACTTAAACTTGAAAATTGTAGTCTTGACTGAAGAAAGATCTTTCCACGTTTGTGGATAAGTCACTCAGTCCATTGAAGCAGTGTTATATTGCTAGTAGTAAAGCTAATAGAATTTTAGGTATATTAACTACAAATTGAAAGAGGTAATTGTCTACACAAATCACTAGTTAGGCCTCATTTGGAATGATAAATACAGTTTTGGTCTCATTATTGGAAGGGTTCTGAGGATGGCTGCTAGGATGAGGATGTCTTATTATGTTTTTTCTCGAGAAAAGAAGGGAAAGAGGTGATGTTATAAAAGTTTATAAGAGTATATATATATACAGGAGATTGATAGTATAAAAGCCTCTGATTTCTTTGAATTATATTCTGAAGATAATAGTATGAGGGGACACAAGATTTAGATTTGGAAAAGACGGTAGTCTCTTGTTAAAGACAGTTTTATTTTTCTAACAAGTTGATTGGTCTGTGGAATGAATTGCCATTGGCAGTGGAGGATGTCTTGGCACAGATTTATTTATTTTTTCTTTTTCTCTCTCTCATTTAAAAATACCATGTATTATAGCTCATAACCACTGTGAGAATACGTTATTTTGTTTTGTCATAGATGTTATGATTTTAATCACGTTGCTGTGTAACATAAGGCACTTCTTTGTGTACAGTTTCTTTAATTTAAAGCTGTGAAACTTTAACAGTATTAAGTATCTTGCTTTCTTGATACTTGTATCATAATTTATTAAGAAGCTTTCTTGGTTTATTTCAGCAATTCAGACCAATGGAAAATGCAATTTCACCATTTCAGAAGAACCCAGAACTCAAAAAAAGCCTTTGGGAAGATTTGATAAACTGTAAGGTATTGGATCAAGATAAACTTAAGTTATGTCAATTAAGTTGAGAGCTATGCATCATTATTTTATATACTGAAGAAAAATTGTTATGGATAATAAAAATTATTTAGTGATTGGGGAGGCTGAAGAAAAAATAATGCTCTGTAACATTCAGTGTATGGTTGTAGTCATTTTGACCAACTTTCTAACAACCGTTTCACCAAGAGACTATACATACTATAACTTTCAATATGTTAAGTGTGTCTTCAAAAATATTCAGTAAACAAGTCTTTTGTAGACAAAAAATTGGGTTTTTTTAATTTAATGTTTTTACTAAAGATTTGTCTGTGAACTTATGGACTCGGACACTGACTAGTCTGAGTGCAAGGTGATTTTCATTTATATAACCTCTGGAACCTCCTAAGTAAATATCAAAAGTTTTTCAGGAAAAAATTGTTCTTTTCTTTTCTCCACCCTAACACTATACAATACACGCTTGGTCCATTTGACCTTTTTTGTAACCACCATAAAAATATGAAATAAATCTAAATTAACCATTTTTCTTTCTATAATGACTGCATATTTTTAAAGACAATTACACTATTTATTCTTACAGCCAAAACTAATAAAATTCAAATCTCCTAGTCATTTAGATTTATTGTTTTACTGACATGCTCCCAGGTGGCTTAGCAGAAAGTCTGAAGGCTTGTAATACTAAAAACCTGATTTCGATATCCATGGTGGGCACAGCACAAACAGTGTATTATATTGGTTTCGGCTTAACAACACAACTAACAAACAAAGTTACTGCCACTTAGATTAGCAACAAAGCCATTTATCACAATGGGAAAATATTATGTAAACACAGCATTGAGTTACCAGCACCATTGGTCAAATTACAACATGCTGAATTGCGAGATGTGTTTGTGCTTTATATATATTTACTTTATATATTTTTTATATATAACCTGATAAGTTGCTAATTTTTACATTTTATTTTACTTTTATAACAATAAATAAAAGATATACATAAAATAAAATGAAACTTAGTACATATGTGTCAGTTTGTACTTTTTTTGATAAGATTCAATGAAAGTTAACCCTCTTTTTTTAGTAGGGGTGTTGTTAGTACTTAACTTTAATTTATGTTAAATATGCAATTTAGAACACAAAGTATTACAAGGAACAAAAAACAATGTCCCAAAGCTACTTAACTGACTTTCTAATTAAGCTACATGTGCATTGAAATATTTTCGTTATCTAAGTAATAGCAAACTATGAAATTGATGCAGAATAACTCAAAACTGATTGTGAGAATGAGCTCATAAAGAAATCAGTAAATTAGAATCTTATCTTTCTATTTGTTATAAATAATTTAATAGCAAATATCAGAGAGAATTATTCACAATTTTTAAAGACAGCATGTGCTAGGAGGGGCATGGTATATAAGTTTCAGTTTATGGCATATAACTCATTAAAAAGTAAGAAGAGTAGATAAGGTTGAATTTTATTTTAGCTCAAGGATATCTAATGTATATTTTTATAATTACTCTGAAACTTACAAAATAATATAATAGTGGAAAAAATTTCAAGCTGGGTAATTCATAGCCAAAAAGTCACATAATACATAAAAGCAAAGAATGAGAATTTATTTAAATATTTTCTTTTGTAATTAATTAATTAAAAATTGTGATAAAATGTGTATTATTTACTATGTTTGATGCCAAATTTATTGACATACACTGATAATAAAATAGTTTAACTTAATTTTGAATGCAACTTTAAAAACATCATGATATGCATTTTGACCTACCCATAAATGGAAGGTTAATCTGTTATGGATGGAATCACATTCAGAAGCAGCCAAGAGCCACAGTTATGAGTAACATGTGCATCTTGTTATATATGTTATGTGCAAATTATGTTAAATGAGGAGATAAAGCAAACTTTTTCACTGAAGCTTTAAGTAAAAACCATTTTCAAATAGTTTCTTTAAAATGTATTTTGTAGTGACCTTCAAATCAACATTTAAAGATAATCCATAAACATTACACAGCCTCTTAATGTGTGATTATGTGTGTGTTTATCAGGGCTTTGGTATCTTTGATGTCTTAAAGTTTGTTATTCAAAAATAACATGGATCCAAATTCATAAAATTTTAACAATAAACTTCCCAACCATTAAAAAAAAAAGTTAAAGAACAATCTGTTTTTCATTACCAGGACACTTGAGAAGAAGAATTCTAGGAAGTAAACAATAAATCTATCAGTGATAGTAGTTTCAAGTGATTATATCTACTTGGTTTCTAAAGGTTTTGTTGTTATAATTTAGTTTTTGAAATTTGAATTGTTTCATTGGTGTATCAGTGCAGTTTACAGAGAGAGAGAGAGAGATTATTAACAGTATTTTAACCATATTTCTGTTGCTAATGGTACCATATTTATTGGGAAAGATATAAAATATATATCGGTATCAGTTACCTGTATCAAGTTTCTGACAAATGAACTTAATAATTATGATCTTTAAAAACATGATGCTAAAATAACTCACACATTATATTTGTACTGAGATGTTAGTAATGTACATAATTTTATTACAGATGTGATGTTAAAATATGTTTCATCTGAACACACTTTTCTCTATGTAATACAATGCTTCAGTAAACTAAGAATTGGTTATGAATAGTTATTAGTGTTATGTCTTTTCTATGCTTTTTGGAATATGTTGTTATTAGTTTAAACATTTTAAGTTATTATTCCTTCCATTTAATGAAAATGGGAAATTAAGTGTTATGACCTGCTTATGGTTTCTGCATTACTCTTTCTTTGTTTCTGAAGGTGATTGAAAAAGTAGGAGAACAGAAAGCTCAGAAGTATTTTAATGATTTAGAGTTATGGTTGTGCCAAGCTCCTCACTTTACAACAGTGCGAGTTAACACCTTAGAAACAACAACACTTCAGGCCAAAGAAGATTTAAGAGAAATTTTAGATAAGGTTGTAAAAATTTAACTTCATTTAATTTATATTTTTCTTTTAATTTTCAGATATTTTTGGCACACTTTATGTATCATAAGTATAATAAATATTAAGTATCAGATACGATATAAGTAAGGATTTTTATTTAGAAGATTAAACAAAAATTTTATTTAGCATTGGTTGTAAAAGAAAAAATTTGTTTCATTATTTCTTCTCTTTTTTTTTCTTTACATTTGTATGCAGTTAATTTGTTATTGCAGAATCACTCAGTATGTTGTAGCATCTTCTCACTGTTTAAGAATAGCTTTGCATGAAATGTTTTAAAGATTTATTTGTAAGATTTATTGCTGAAATTAAAAAAAACAAAGAAACATTATTCTCTCTTTTTTTTTGGAAAACGTGTTTATTGTGTTTCTCTCATTCATTATAAAAAATTAAACATACAACTTCTCTTTATCATACAGGTGGAAAAAATATAATAAATACACTATTTAATTAAATATAAACAACATCACAACTGTGTAATCTTAATGTACTTTGTGATTGTAATTCGAGTTATTTACAAGACACAGTCTATAAAAAATAAGGACCTCTGTCTTAAGTGCACAATTCTATTGATAAATATTGCCTTAAGACTTATTCAGGAGATCTAATAATGTATTACAGATGCACTACCAGCCATTATAGTAAAACAGGATACCGTAAGATTAAGCTACTTTTTTTTTATGTTAGCAGTAAAAAAAAGTATACAGAATACACAATGTTTAATAAAGTCAAATACTAGTCTAAATGAACATTTTTGTGCAGAGCATCAAACTATGTTCAGTGTTTTTTTTTGTCAAATGTTAAAAATCAATTTTTCTCTTCCACATATATTTGAGAGAATTTGTACTAGAGAAAAATAACATTAATAGATTATGGTATTTTACCTACTTTTTTGTACTTTATTTGTGGTATCATATTTTTTTCAGTAACATAGAATCTTTCTTCACAGTTTTTTTTTCTTGCCACACTTGCTCGCCTGTGTATAGTAGAGAATGTTTCACGATGATTATGTTCTGTTATGTTACATTAGTAGTTGACTGTATGAAACATTTTGTATCCAAAATGTTTTATTTTCCAACATTTAGATTGAAAATGGTAATAAAGTGCTGAATGATTCGTGTTTTTTTTTAAATGCAATGGCATATTCTTATTAAACTCACTCTGTTCAAAGAATGGGATGCCAATTTAATTTGGAACATTTGTCATATTTTAAAGTTGAGGTTTTATATTTGATCTGTTAAACATTGAAAGTTTTACAAAACATTTCCCAATCATGAATTTAACCAAAAGATTTGTATATGTAGATATATATATAAGCAAACATAAAATTTTAGTTGCTTTTTCTCATGCTTATGTCCAAAATATTAAATATATAATATTTTGATGAGTTTAGCAGATCAGTAGTGGTGAGCGTACAGATAAGTTCACAGTTGATATTCACCCTCACGTTCCTGACCTTCTTATCGTCAGCTCAGCTTCTGATAATGAAGCTGTACACCCTTGGAGACGAGAATTAATTGTTGGAGCCCTGTGTGGTGTGGCCGTGTTGCGGGGAGCAGATGTCTATGCACCTGGTGTCATGGGTGCTCCGCTAAGTAATTTTTCTTTCTTATCATTGGAAATATGCAAATTAATATCATTTTTAAACTTTTTTCTATTTTTATTGTAATACTAACTTTTATAACAATAAATACATTAATTTGTTAGCCAATATTAATTCCTTTTTGAAATTAGTATTTGAAGTATTTTATGCTCTGATAATTCTATTATAACAAATATCAGCTTGTTTATGATGATAGTAATGTAAATAACTTTAACTAAGTCTAGTTCCATTAATTGGTTCTTTTTATTAGATCTAATACAGGGAGAAAAAGTTTCTGTTTTTGCTGATGTTAATGGAATGTGCAAGCGGGGTTTGACAAAAGTGTTTACTGGTGACAAAGTGTTTGTTGGAAATGGGATATCTGTTATGAGTCGACAAGATATTTTCAATGTTTCTTCCCCAAGGTTAGAAAAACATTATACATTTACTAGTTTTTTTAATTTCAGAATTCAACCAACTAGCATTTTGTGGCATGTATTACCAATTATTTTAGGCTTTTCAAATAACTGACTGAATATAATGAGCGTCTTATAACTATTTTAGGAAACAAAAAAACATTAAATCTGGCCTATAAGAAGTGCATCCAAACTTTGTGAATTTTGACTGTTGGTTTTCTTGTATGCATGGATAAATAATGCAAGTGTGTTTGTATATCATAAAGATTAAGTAAAATAATGTAAACAATTTGTTTTATAGTTTCTGACAATTAATTAATTAATTAATACCAGTATACAGGGTGACACAAAAGCTATGCACCACCATGGTTCTTCCGAGCCCCACCCTTGCTATGAGTTCTCTTCAGTTGATTTTGTGTTTCATTGATTGTCTCTTTTTGGTTGGGATTTGATCCTTTTGTGATGTCGTGTCACATTATCAATGACACATATTATTTTATCACCCTGTTTTATACCTTTTGAAGAATAAAAAGTGCAATTGAAAATAATTCATATGCTAGTTATTATGTGATTGATGGTGTATTCTAATTATTTACTGTGTTATTATAATAATAAGTTGGCAAACAAGGATTTATGAACGTAATGAAGCAATTTATTTTTTGGAGGAATGTATCACATATTTCAACAACATTGGTCTGTCTTCTTCAGGTACTCTTAGCTTATCTGTTAGGATATCCCAAAGATGCCTGCTTATTTAGTTTTTCTGTTTAATGATAGACAAGTTTTGCAATTTAAATAAGATGTACAAATGAAGTTTATACTTTTTGGCAGTTTTAAGTTTTTCTAAGCTCGAATGTAGATCAAAACACTGTAAAAAATGTATTATCATTTCTGAAAACATCACGTATTATTGTAGTTCACATGTTTTTTTAATCTTGTATGTTGGTTCACTGCTTTAGTGTTGGAGATCTGAAAACGTTCTGATCAATTAACATATAAATGTAGCATATTTGTACGTTTAAATGAGTATGTTACTCTTCAGTCCAACAAATTTAATATATTAATCTAAACCAAAGACTCTTCACAAAATAATATAATTGTTGTTGTCTTGTTCTGGCATTATAGGCTTATGGATGTTACATATGACACAGCCTTACCTTATTTATATTACTTGATAATTGTTTTATCTCTCCATTGTGTACATATCATTTTATTTCATTATCACACAGTTGCTCTGAATATGTATAGCATTTTACTTTTCTTTGTTTCTATTTTTCATGCTCTTTCTTCACTTAACAAATATTTACAACATACAGATTTGTTTGTGTGTGTGTATTTGTAATGTTTGTATTAACTGTAGAACCCCCATTTTTCAGAGAGTATCAGTACTTATTTAAGAAAAACAAAATAAATATTTAGTTTCCAAAACAGCACTTTAGGCTCACATATATCCACTATTCAGTAATTTGTGCATGGCTCTAATGTACTGGCTCACAAACTTTTTTCATTGTTGACTTCCTAACTCATCTTGATTTGTGCCACATCCCTGCTGCCATATGCAATATTTTTTGTAGTTTTTTGTTTTATGTTCTTAATTATTCTTCATTTGGTGAAACTCTTGCAACACCCCTATCAACAGGCCACAACACTAGTCTGTCATGACACACAGTTTGGAGACCACTGCTATAACGAATGGTTAGCACAGTTTATTGAGGGGAAAAATACACACATTTTTGGTTATTGTAAATTAGTGTGACTTGGGCACTGAACTGGTCCAGCATACTATTTAAATGTACTCAGGAAAAATGGTTTGTTACCATTTTATCTGGTCTTAGAATAGCGGACCACTGTCAATTTCAACTGATGAACAAATTATAAGAAAGTTTTATTCTGTTTTTTTGGGAATTGTAAAAAATAGTTTTTTAATACGTGTCATTATGTTACAGATTAAAATGTTTATCCTTGATATTTTGAGTTCATGCTAATTATGATTAAAAATGATAATACTTGTTTAAGTATATGAAATTAAGTAATTTTTTCATGTTTTGAAATATAATATTTTTTCTTATTGTGCATAAGTGGACTTGCTGTGAGAATTGTCAAACGTATCTGTCCTTCACCTTCTCTAAATGGAATCATGGAAGAAAGACTTTTCTTACAAAATTTACCATCTGTTGTTTGTTGCCATGTGTTAAATCCTCAGCCCGGAGATTGGGTATTGGACATGTGTGCAGCTCCAGGTAAATATACTATATATGGGTTAAGTTCTCAGTTGGCTTCTGAATGTGCTGCTCCAACTGATGTGTATGCGAAAAATATAGTACATTTATGGGGTTTTCAACTTTAAATATAAGTGTTACTCCAGGTGAATTAAGCGTATGAAGCTGATTTATTCTTACTGAGTAAAAACAAGTAATACTACTACAGATAACAAATGGATGGAGTTAACTCTTTTAGCATGGTCTCGGTCCTTGGGACCGACCTCGTAACCATTGTATGCTTGTTATAGTTTTTATGCAATAACTGTTAAATTAGTAAGCGAATGTTAACGAAATTTGGCAGACTACTAGTGAACATTACATTATATATGTATATAGATTAGTGCTATTTTGAAATAAGTTTTTAAACATATTTTTCTTAAAACATAGAACAGTAAATAAAGAAGTAAAGCAAACAATTATCTCTTCTAGTTATGAACTTTTTACTCGGTTGCAGCTTGATGTAGGTTGCTAAGCTTTTATAAATTTGCATGTGGAGGATATGAAACAAAATATTATTTTTTAGGTTTTATATATATACATTTCAATAACTAAAAAATCATAAATTACTATATCAATACCATA